TAAAGCTGTGCAGAAGAGTGCACCAATCTGGCAGGAGATTGCTGACATCGTCACCGCGAGAATAAAGGATCTGAATGTGGATACTCCAGAAATCAAACCAAAAACCAGTTTGGCCATGTATTCACATGTAGCGTGCAATCGACACAACATCGTGGAAGATTTGCTGTCTAATGATTGCAATGATAGTAATTAACCAGAGGCTGATCCGGACGAGTCATCTAATCTCCTACAAAATTCGACTTTGGAGGTCTCCGAATCTGGAGATGATGGGACAATTCGAGTGATTGTTGAAGTACCAGCTGATGATTTTGAATCACTGATTGTTGAGCGTGAAAGAGTGGTCAGAAGGAAGGAGGGGCGTTCAGCAGTATATAAACGAAAATATCTTAAAGAAGGTTAGTTGATTTATTTGGAGACTTGATAATATTCATTTGAGAATTTGAAGGGGGTTTTCCCAGGTACATAATCAACGAGGCAGTCTGAGTTTGTACCAAATCATCATCGAAATTCATAAACTCTTTTTTGATTGACGAACCTCAGAAATTGATTCCCAGGGTTAATTCTACTGTTTCTTCATTATCTCGAGCCTCAATTAGTGCCTAGAAGACCTCAATCACGTCCTGACGAAATAGAGGGGACTCAAGTTGTTAAGAATTCAAAGTCGATAGCTTCAGGATATTAATCTTTGAGTGCTTTCAGTTCAGGGGAGGTCGAAGATTGTGAGGGCTGCTGAGGCAGAATGAGCGTCATTAACTTCAGTGTCGTTTCCCTCGAATCTTTTTGCTAGTCTGCTGGCATTTTTCTGCTTCTTCAAAATAATTCCAAACTTTCGAGACTTCTTGACAATTTTGCGAACTTTCTTGGAACTGCCTCGATGATTAAAAATATGCTCACATTTTTTTGGTGTCAAGGTTTTAAGAACTTTGTCTGAAAGGCACTCTGCACTCTGTGCAACTTTCTCATGAATTTATTCTAATCTGACAGCATTTTCCTGACATTTCAGTCATCATCCTACACCCTAGACGTGCTTTGATTACTCTCAAAGACCTAAATTGATATTCTAGAGAAAGTTGCCATTTTTTTAATATTTTTTCACAATTTTTCAATTATTTTGACCGATTGCTTTGATTTTTATAATCTTATTTAATTTTTTGACACAAATTCATCTCCATATTCTTTATCTACTTACAGAGGAAACCCAAGCGTTTTTAAGTACACTGATGAACAAGAATACTCGTGTTGAGTGTGAATATGATTTCAACACATTTAGCCTTGATGCTCACGCAGAGATCTATGGCCAAGTGAATGGTAGCTGTAGTTGTAAATCTGAGATTCAATGTTTTATTCGAAAAAGAGGAGCAATCGTTCAATTTGAATGCATCATCACGAGAGGAAGAGGTGGATTGAGATGCGGAATGCGGTTCACACGAGCAATTCAGCAGCCAATTGGGAGAAAAAGAAAATGGGATAAGTCAGAGAAAAATGATGGAGATATAATTTCAGGAGACTGCGAGGAAGTGCGAAACCAGAATCAAAGGCCTTGGACCTCAGATACACTCCATGATGATCCCATTTATGCCCTACAGCTCCTCAAAAGGTTCAAAATGCACGGAGAACTGACAATTATCCAACCAGAGCCCTTCACCATTTGCTATTCCACTCTGCACCAAATTTCTATATATCGATCACTGCAAGCAAAAGGTCATCTACGCCTCATTATTAACGGAGAACCAACATTAATACAATCGGTTCAAGGTCCCGTAAAACACTCAGACCCAGTGATATTTTATCATGTTGTTGCTGCTGATCTAGGAGGGATAAGTCTGACCCAAATGCTGTCAGAAAGTGCCGAGACGTCTCGCATCGCTAATTGGTTAAATCGGTGGGTAGAGGATAACGGGCTCAGGATTCCAGATGAAATTGTAACCGATGGGAAAAGTTCTATTACAGCAGCATGCATTCGCATTTTCTCAGGACACCGGAATGTAACTGAATATTTAAATTCTTTTTTTCACTCTCCTCATCAAACATGCTGTGCTGTACGAATTGACGCCAATTTCATCATGCACCGATATACAGAGGTGTTCAAAATGTTGAACGATCAACGTTTAATCGAGTGCTACAAAGAGGCGATAGCAGCTTTGATGGCATGTCGAACACGAGAGGAAGCTGGAAATCTGATTAGGGCACTGTTCACTGTCTCACTGAGTCGTCATGAAGGTGCATCTCCAGATGGTACTCCTTCTGCTAGTGATTATGAGAAAACCTTCCTTCGAGGATTTCATAAGGATGCTACCTGCGACATTTTTCATATGGAAGAAAATAATTCTGTTGTCGACAATGGGGGAAATTGTGATAAGCTATTGATAAAGAGTGATAATGATTCTGAAAATGAATGGTATGCTTGGGGACACAAGATACTAACTGGTGTGAAAGAATCCATAGCGAATCAGCCAGGAAACCCATCAAAGAAGAGCCCTTACAGGCTGGAAATGCTCTCAAAATTACTTATGGAGGATGTGCAATGGCTGCCGGTCTGGAGTTGTATCGGTTCAGGTACATCAGGTTCTGTTCAAAATCTAGCAGTTATTACCCCAGCTCGACAAGAGGTGGAAAAATTGAAGAGAACTCTCAGCGAAGCAATATTTCCCATCAGAGCAGATATTTTCGTGGAAAAGCATAAGGAATATATTGATGGTCATATTAAGGATACCATCGGGTTGGATAAATCTGAGAGAACAATACATGAAGTCGAGGAAATTATTTCAATTGAACCGGACGTGAATAAATCAATAACCGATTTATGTGATGAAGAGCCTGCTGAGACGACTCAGAGTACAGGTGATGAATCGCTTGAGCTTGATGAGGATGAATCATCAACTTCTCCATGTGGGGAAGAAAAAAATGCCAAGATGAATCCGAATATAACTGAGGAGTCTCTAGAATCTGAATTGAACGAAATAATAACCTCTTCCTGTGCGGAGAATACTGTTGAGATGACTCAAAATATAATAGACAAGTCTATTGATCCAAATAATCATGAATTGATGACGAATGAGAGAGAGAGAATCTTGCTAATAACAAGAGCACCTGTATTCCTGAGATACCTGGAGATGCAGCATCACATGATTCTAACAACAATGATTCTGCTATGGTTAATTCAGATGGATCGAATCAGACATCAGCATCTTCTGTTGCATTTTCAAAATTTCTTCTCTCACGATCGAAGCTGATTTGCTGTTCACGTATTGAAGTGCCCCATGATACCAAAATATCTCCTTGTTTGGTAAAACTAGTTCTATCAAAGGTTCTGAAAAACTTGACATGATCAGAAATTATCGATAATTGCATGCTCTTTTTTTTAGAACTGTCATCGGTCTGTCCACGAAGTGGATAAATGTTCAATCTTCATAGCTGGTAAAAAAGAAGATCTCAGAGGACATTATTTGTGTTTTCAATGTTCTCAGCAAGGAAATATTAGTACATTAATCGATTCCCAAAGTCGCGAAAATTGGAGGAATAAAACGATTTCCCATGAGATCACGACGAAACAGAAATTGAGACAGTTGGAAGCAATTACTCCAGCGATACAAGCCAATAATAACCAAAAAGTCGAAATCATCTGGGCATGTCCTTTCGATGCTCTGTTTCAGCTTGTTTTATCAGCGGCAATTCATTCCGAAATATTTCTTAATAACGTCGTTCATGCCCATGCAAAAGATAATCTGTTCCTCGATTTATTAAAAGATACTGCAGAAACCCGAACTGTCACAAGCAGAACTCTGCAGAAACGTTTTCAGATCCTAAAAAACCATTTTCCAATGAAGAAACATGAATTATGCTCCAAAAAATATCAGTTGCAACTAGAATGTTCTACTATGATCAGGAATATGTATGAGAAATTGTTCGTTGGGATTCCCTGTTTTGAAGAGAAGATGACGTGTGAATTTGGTTGTTCTATAAATCGAGAAGAACACTATCTTTATTCATTATCACTCCAAACTTTTATGACAGAGGATCCCAAGGCGATTGAGGAAGAGATTTTAGTTCCAAAATCGTGTAAATTTGGATGCATTTCTGGCAGAACAGAAAGTACAATGTGTGTTGGAAAAGATTTTGTATGTTTTGAACTTTGGTCTGGATTTGGGGATGCAGACAAAGTCATGTTATCTGATATTCCCACTCGAATACAATTTGCAGCGATGACAGAAAGTTTTCAACTGGTTGGAATAATCCACTTCGATCCACCGAGTGAACGAGGGTGGCTATATGGAAAAGGGTCCTCTTCTAAACGCTCTCTTGGTCATTATGTGACTTTTTGTTTACAGCATAACGATTGGCATCGTTATGATGTCAAACGTGACTTGAAATCACCGAAAACTCGTGTTCATCCTACATTTGTCATGTACGTACGTGCTTGAGTATTTAAAGATTGAGATATACGCGTTGGAAATGAATGTCGATCACGTTACATTCTCTGGTCGTTTATTACTACATTACGATACACACGTTATGATTCAACTCGTAAAAAATGATAAAATCGCAATTAGTTAGTCTATTTTTCCAATGTTCAATGATTATAGTAGATGTTTTATACTATTTATTCATAAATGTGCCAAAAAGTTATTCGATTATATGATCATTTTTTTGTCAATTTCCAAACCCGAAAAATCCTCTAAGCTTCTCATTCACAGTTACTTCACTTCTTAGAAGAGAATGAAGATGTAATGTTGTCAATGTTCTTGACTAAGTTTGATTGACTAAAATATCAATCGTATTTCAAGCGAGTCTTCCCAAGTTTATAAGAAACACTATCGTCGGATGGCTTTCAGCTAAGTGTTCATATTCATGTATAATTCACCCAAGCATAGTTAGTGTGAAAGCTAATCAGTGATGAGACACCGTAGTGATTTATTTACTTTATTGGTATAAAGAGGAAGGTAAGACATGTAGTTAAATTTTCTGTCGTGAAATTGAGAAACATGAGACGGTAAGAAAAGATGCGATGAACAGGAAGGTATACATGGAAAATAGAATACAAGTAAATACGATAAGCTCTATTCAGAGTGGAAAACTGTCCATTCATAATCCATTATTTCTCATCTTTCCCCCCCTGTGAGTATATGACAAGCACTGGAAGAACGGTCTTGTCTGCGCGACAAAGACGTGTCTTTTCACCGCCCTGTATCGTAAACCACGAGTTGTTTCGTAACACATGTGCAGAACATTTCCCATTGATGAATTTTATCAACCTTTGAGATCGTATAGCCACTGGCGAATCCTCCAGAGCCTCAGAATCTACGATGCCTCGAAGGAATAACTGTTTCTCCATATTCAACACGTTAACTTGCTTAGGAATTTGATGCAGTTTTATTTTCTGTTGTTGATTTGCTGAGCTAAGAATTGTTTGAATTAGAATGAGTGGAGCCTTTATGGCGATGGTGGAACTTGCGTCTCTTGAGCATGAATGTGGACACTTGATTGTCTGGACTTCTTCAATATCTTCTTGTAGTGGTAAAAAATCAGAGTTGAGTCGAATCAGTTTGTCGAGATATACTTTCAATACACAGGGTTGTAGCGTAATCGGTGAACATCCGCCATCACAAATGACTGTTCTCTCAAGAAGGGATAGAGACTCCATCAATTTTTCACAAATTTCACCTGCGTCAGATTCACAATTCATGACAACGCAATCAACCTCATGGTGTCCAAGTGTCTCATTAAATAAATGTGGCGCTAGGACATGATATCTTTTGACATAAGTAGTCTGACTAATTCGTTTTGATGTATAAACATAGTGAATCATTCTAAAAAGGGCATTGTGATTTCGGTGCTGCTCGAGGTATTGTATAAAATCAGGAAGATCGAAAGCCATAGTTAAAAGTGCGTGGAACAACGCATCAAAAATGTCTGTATTCGTTAAGTTAATACGTTTGCCTCTTACGCGAATGGCACGCAATGATGGATCATTCCCCTTTTTTAACACTGGAATTGTATCTAACGTTTTCTTCGGAGTAAAAAAATCAGGTGGATAAGTCTTCTTCAAATATGAGAAATTCCTCTTCCCTGATACAGTTTTCGAATCTCCTGTCTCTTGACCATCGCGGCAAAGTCGAGTGGTTGCTTTCTCTCTTTTACTATTGCAACCATTACAGAGACGTTTCTCCCCATATCCCTCTTCATCACCAATAGAAACAGAGCACGGTGGGATGATGTGAACAGGAAGATTACATTTCTAAAAAAAGAAAAAGGACAAGGTGCATCATATATAGAAGCTCTTGATTAAAAAATAACATTTCATCAATTTTACGACCGTTGGTCCTTATATTCGTAATAATTAATACTTTTATCACTATCGAAAATAAATTTTGGTTCTATTCATTTTCCTTAATAGATTATTTCAATACAATAAATAGATAGATGAATGACTTGGAGGTCGATATAGCGTAATTTTTTTTTCTAATCATTCAAAACCTCGGAACACTGCTATTTATAGTTCTTCGCATAAACGATGAGTGAGCATATAATTATACATGAGTAAATGAATAGAGAAATTCCCAAATAAATCTAGTCAATTCTATTAGATTCAATTCAAAATAAACATCTAGGGAGAAACAAATGAGGATACTATTTCAGTGTATAATTTGGTTGTAGCTGAAAATGTACCTCAATTTAATTAGTCAAAGAATTTATTGAATTCATACCTCGCATTTGTGCCCTCCAGTCGGCAAATGGCCTGCAGCACATATTAGACATTCTTCGACATTGAAATTTCCACGATTATCTGATGATACTGGCGAACTGTGATAAATTGGCTGCTCACCAGGAAGCCCTCCCTCATCGCCTGTCAGGTCAGAACCAATCTCTTCAGTCTGTTGTTCGTGACTTATTTCTGCGACTTCGAATTGCAGATCCCGATTTTCGCTTTCGTCTCGTCCTTTTATATGATTGTCCATCTTAGTGCCTACCAGGATAGATTGAGCATCCAAATAATGTTTATGGAGCGTGATGAACAAATCCGGTCTGGGAGATTTCATTTTAGCGAGGAGCCAGGTTTTAATTATATTAAAACTACTTTCCACGGCAGCACTTGAAGCTGGGACTCTTCCAAAACCGAACTCATCTCTGCATATGCAACTCCATAACGGCAGCCATTTAATATCACTGAGAAGTTTTTTGGAAAAATCTGGGCAGTAAAGCTCATTTGTTATCGTTCCAGCAACACACTCAATCTGTTCCAAAATTTTTCCATTGATTTCCAGAGCCCAATCTTTCCACAAACTAGGCTGAACTGCTTTTGATCGTGCATTTGGGGAGGTTGAAACCTCCGCATCAGTCTCTGTTCTATTAGATGGAAATGTTAAGTTCTCGAAATTATGGTGAGTGAAAATCTTCTCCATTTTCTCTTTTGCATGAGAACATAATGAGGGAAAACCCTCCACGGTCATTCCACATGTTGGACTCTGAGCAATAATCAGAAGATTCCGAAGAATAATCTCTGCATTTTCCTTGTTACGTGCCATAATTAATTTTGCAATACCTCCTTTGTAGTATTTTCCCAACGACTTATTAGAATTTTTTAACATTGCTACATAAGTTTTGAGAAAATGGGCAACGTCAAGCCTAATGTAACAGGCTGGAAGTCGATTGGTATCACTGATATCAAAAAGAGCATCGGCGTAACTATTAACAGTTTTGTACCCAGTGAAAGCCCGAATGCACCCAACAAGCAGTCCCAGGCCTTCATCTGTCACAACCTCTTTAGGGAACGGCAACTTTTGTGTACCCAACCACTCGGTCAACCATTCGTCAATGCTCGTAGCAGCCTGAGACTCAGTCAACATTTGGCCCAAGGCGATTTGCTGACCACTGGGAGTCTGTGTTACAGCAGAAAAAAGGTGAATTGGTCCTGTGTGATGAGTGTCAATTCTTCTAAATGTTCGAGTTATTCCCGATGTGGCATCGATCTTGAGAGAGAAATTACCTTTGTTGGCAATTCGACGATGAATCTTTTGCTGCAACTCAGTAGAATAATTAATATAAAATGGATCGCATCTTATGGTGAAAATTTCGTTTTTCATTTCTCTCGCCTTCAGAATTTGGAGCGCCTTGACAGGATCTAGGTGTAGACGATCAGCTGCTAGGGTCTGATGCTTGATCATTCTCAAGACTGGTGATGAAGGAAGTTGTGGAGGCTCTGAGTCACCGTCTTCCATGAGTTGATTGACCATTTGCATTCGGAGCACATGAGGAACAAGGTCTTTCAATCTTTCGCCAAATTCTTTTCGAATCTCTCCTCACACGGGGCGTTTGCCACAATCTAATTGTGAATCTCCTCCTTGGATCTCGAATCGAAAAGATGCCAGGTTGTTTTTTTCGCACATATAGCAGTTTAAAATTGCTCCACAGTTGCAAGTCCCCGTAAAATGTCCGGAAGTCACATCTTTATTAACGTCATGATTGCCGAACATGAACGCATGTCTGCTCCGACCATGCTCCCACATCAAATCCATCAATCTGCGTTGATATCTGTCTACGTGAAAACAAGTAACGGAAATTTCAGCACTAATTGTTCGAAATATGAGACATTGAATTATCTAACATTGAAAAAAAAAGAAAATACCTGGGAGACATTTCATTCGGTAACGTGTCGAAATATCGCCGGTCCTTCGATCCCTCAGATAAGTGGAACGCTCTGTTACAAGGGCTTTGAACTCCGAAAGAGGAATTGCGCCTGTGAATTCAATGGCATTTTTCACCTTTGAACGCTCTTGCACTACGGAACGTGATAATGAATCCTCGGATTCTTCTACTAGTAGTATTTTATCACTTCTCTTGTATTTCTCATAGCTGGGATTTAAGTGAACACGAATATCGTCTTGATTGCATGACACATATGTGTAAAGGGATTCTGCAGATTTATTTTGTCCCATTTTCTCCAATTTGAAGGCCATTTTTGTCCAAACATGTGGAATCGATCGAAATGTTCTGACCTGGCCTGTCTGATAATCAATTATTTCATCCTTGTATTCAGTCAACACAGCCCAAATTTTATCCACATCGTAGATTCGTTTCGGACCTCGACGGCGTTTCAGGGATATTTCGTTGTGGGTGTCCCACTCTTGCTGCTCCTCCATGGGTGTTCACTTAATGTCAGATCACTCGGCTGATTATTGACAGTGAAAAGAGAAAGTGAAATAAATTGTTATTCTCAGTTATAGAATAACAAATACAATAGAATGTCCATTCGATGGGCTGCTCAGAGCTTATGATAAATTGTAAGTGACTCTATAGTTGATTTTCGCCGAAATCTTTCACATAACCGCGCGAATAATTCCTCTGAATATGACTATATCTGACATGCGATTGACTCTGAAATGGTATTTTAATTGTGAGCAGCTAAAAACTGTAATTTTCCCTCAAATGGTTAATACAATTACATCACGGGCATAATCTGAGGCTTCACAGACGATCATTCCGCTGCTTGCCTTCGCCGTAACGAAAAACACTGCTCCAAACGTGGAATGTGAAATATAAGGCCCTCACTCACGTATAAAACTGACACGATAACTGCTATGTTAACAACTTTAACACCATATTGTAGAGGCGGATTATTTAGGACTGTTGTGCTTTCTCAAAACAATGACATATTCGTTTTTTTTGGTGCAATTTCTCTTGACAATTAATAATTTTGAGGTTAAAAACTTGATAATTAGTTTCTAACTGTTCGTGTCCAATGCGTTTGAGTATTTACAAATTTGTGGGGAAAATGTATGATTTAGCTAGAAGAACTCATCATTTTTCTGTAATCTCACCATTTTTTCATCTCATCACTTTTTAATAATTGAGCAAACAATTCTCGTAAATGTGGCGATATCTAAAATATCGTTAATTTTGACTGTATTTCAATTGTGGACCATCTAGAATAATAATTCTGTCCCCAATACATAATCAAATTTCATTATATTAGGCAATACTCACCAAACATGGATTATTTCTAAGATTACTGTAGACGTGAGCTATTGAGAACTCACCGTTTTCCAGGCGAAATGAGTAATTATGAAATTGACTGAATATTGGCGTATAATTTCATTAGCTATGGCGTACTCTTTCGGACGAATATTCAAAACTTGAGATAATTTCGGAGTCATTTTGCAATTGACTGACCAGTGGTAAGTGATACCCGAAGGATGGCGCTCTACGACGTAATCTACGTTCGTAGTGTTATTTCATTTATTGTGATGGTCTTACTTAGTCTCCTGAACAATGTATTATTACGAATTTCTGGACATAAGTTCGGAATATACAAATATTTGGCAAGAGAAACAGAAAGAGAATAAACGCAAATAACAAATGATACGTAAGAGCATATCCAGTTCAATTAAAAACAATGTTTTCATATTACTAATTTTCATTTGCAGCTTAGAAACTTCTATTGGATTTGTAATATATCCCACAATGCCATGTGACACTAAGAAAAAAAATTTTTCCAGGCACAACCGCAGCCGTGGAAAATGTCACCGAAGTACATTCACATATCAGATATCAGATTTTGTGGACGGGTGTACTGAACAGTTTCCTTCTTGAACATCCAGCTGACTGTCAGCGTGACAAGTCACAACTGTTTGAACACCAAGAACCTGCAAAAGTTCTCAAAACATTGGAGATTGAATTCGTACGGTGTGACTATTTCTAGAACATAGGGGAAAAACAATCATACCAGAAATGACAGATGCTCGCGTATCAGTTTATCAATTTCTGTTTTTTTTTTCAAAAAAACTGTTTTTTTGTCTAAATAAAATTGCTTTTTTTGGGAATTTTCCGCAAAAATTCGCAAATTCTGATTTTATTGCATTATTTTACATAGTAGGTTTTTAGAGGTTTTTACTGGTGCAACGGCTTCTGGGAAAATGATTCCATCAAGATGTTCATTCAACTGACTTTCTAATGGTTCGTCTGTAAAGTTCACGGGCTTCTTCATCGTGGAGTTGATTGATTTCTTCATCTGTATAGGTCTGCCCATAGCTGCAATTTGCCTTTTTGAAGGTCTATCCCGAGACGTTTTTCGAACTGTCATCAACAAAAAGAACATCATCTAAGTCAATTCTGGCACTGTCTTTTCTAAAGAACGAGCATTGTCTTCTTCACTATACTGCTAAAGAGAATTTGATTTTAATGGTTTAATCCGAGAATCATTGACGATTGATTAGTTTGCTGGATTCTGTCTTCGAAGGAAGTATGCTGTAGTTGTTTGTCCAGAGCCACTGGGCTTGCTAAAAATCCTTCTCGGGACTGGTAAAACCAGATTATCTTCTGTGAGTGCTCGTTGAGGTGTATTGTCTTTGTCAGATTCTGGAGTCTTCATCCTGTTGCGATTTGATACTTCTCTTGCTTTCACCATTAATATCTTCACCTCTTTTCCGCTGCGCCAAAATTCACCGATCGTCGAACAGCAATTTTCAAATCGTAGATCATACGAATTGAAGAAGAATTCAGCCACGTTACTCCCCTTGACATTCACAATCATCCTCTTATGTGATATTGTGGACTTTTCTCCGTTGAGTTACTTGGATGGATGGGCCGGCAGAGGGAAATGGCTCTCCACAAGGCCATCCAGATGTGCTTAGAGTGTTTGAACGATGATTCTCGAGCGTATAAGTTTTCGTTCATCGCCCTAAACTGGACGCGAATCCGCGCCGCACAGGTCCAACCGAGTGGTTTAACCATTTCGGCCACCGCTGTCAGTTGATTGGCGGAATACTTTATAGTGGGTGCTAAAAATTATAGCTTCATATCAGGCATACAACGCCGAGCCAATCCCAGGTTTTCACGCCTCAACTGAGTATAATACGAAGGTAACTCGGCTAGGGGTCTCTCTCCAGAGTCCACGCAAATTGATATCCCTAAGCAAATCATTTATGAAAATTCATCCCCGCGGATCGGATCTACATTAGCTGCACAGGGGAAAGGCAATAAAAAGAAAGGAAAGGAGCAGAGCAGGAGAAGCTTGGAAAATAATTCCAGTCAATAACCAAGAAATCTCAATTTAACTGAATTGAACACCCAATCTGCTGCATGTTTGATACACCTGTAAGACTTCATGTGGACACGTTTCCGTGACAGAATCCCAATTGGCTGCAATTTCAATACAGCAGTACAATTTGACGTAGACAAACTACTAGAGAGCCATATTCTCTATAAAAGAGAATGCATGAATAGCATCTGCGTCAAATCTCACTGCTGAATGGAAATTCCAGCAAATTGAAAATAAATGGTTGGCTGATGGTCATCAGAATACCTGATCCTTGTACCATGCTTAAAATTCGGGCACGAATTAATTGAGCTTTTGTTTTGCATAACACATAATGTCGTGGACCATTATGACTAACATGGTCAACCTCATCAGGCTCATAAAGTCAACCTGAGCGTTGAATGCTCCTCAAACTTTGAGCACGAATGTCCCTGGCG